CGTTTTACTCCATCGTTCGTTCATCAAAAACAGCATTGGAGAGACCAGAGAGAGACCAGAGACTAGAGAAAGACCAGATAGAGACCAGAGAGAGACCAGAGAGAGACCAGAGACTAGAGAGAGACCAGATAGAGACCAGAGAGAGACCAGAGACTAGAGAGAGACCAGATAGAGACCAGAGAGAGACCAGAGAGAGACCAGAGAGAGACCAGAGACTAGAGAAAGACCAGATAGAGACCAGAGAGAGACCAGAGAGAGACCAGAGAGAGACCAGAGACTAGAGAGAGACCAGAGAGAGAGAGACCAGTGAGAGAGACCAGAGAGAGACCAGAGAGAGACCAGAGAGAGACCAGAGACAAGAGAGAGACCAGAGAGAGACCAGAGAGAGACCAGAGAGAGACCAGAGACCAGAGAGAGACCAGAGAGAGACCAGAGAGAGACCAGAGAGAGACCAGAGACTAGAGAGAGAACAGAGAGAGACCAGAGAGAGACCAGAGAGAGACCAGAGAGAGACCACAGAGAGAGACCAGAGAGAGACCAGAGAGAGAGAAAGACCAGAGAGAGATACCAGAGAGAGGCCAGAGAGAGAGAAAGACCAGAGAGAGACCAGAGGGAGAGACCAGAGAGAGACCAGAGAGAGAGACCAGAGAGAGGCCAGAGAGAGAAAGACCAGAGAGAGACCAGAGAGAGACCAGAGAGAGAACAGAGAGAGACCAGAGACTAGAGAGAGACCAGATAGAGACCAGAGAGAGACCAGAGAGAGACCAGAGAGAGAACAGAGAGAGACCAGAGAGAGACCATGAGAGACCAGAGAGAGACCAGAGAGAGAACAGAGAGAGACTAGAGAGAGACCAGAGAGAGACCCGAGAGAGACCAGAGAGAGACCAGAGAGAGAACAGAGAGAGAACAGAGAGAAAGACTAGAGAAACACCTGAGACCAGAAAGACTAGATAGAGAGAGACCAAAGAGAGAGAGACCAGAGAGAGAGTAGAGAGAGAGACGCATGTAAGGAAACCGGCTCCAGCTAGCTTATGTTTGGATCTGTTTCTTCTGCATTAGGCTAACACTATGGTGAGCTTTAGCATCATAAAGAAGCTAGTATAAAACATCTAACTATATCAAACCACAGCACAGACTGAGGTCAGGTCGGCAGTGAAGTCAGTGTTCGTTGTACAGTCTGACACCTCTCCTTCACAGGGTCAGGCAGATGCATCGTGAGCTCAGCCACAACTGTCTCGAGTCTCGCAAACTTCTCTAACGAGTTTTATTCTTGATTTAAAAAGGCGATTATAAATAAATGGGAAAAGTTTTGACAGTGCTGAGGAAGCAACTCCTAAAATACGGTCCTTCCTACCCGCTGCCTGTCACGCTCTGTGGAGGAGGCGCTCTCTCGCTGGGACTCTCTGCTGCTTTTAACCAGCTGCCATCAATGGAGAGCGACGGGAAAGAGAAACCCCGGGAAATGAATGGGTTTTTGGAAGATGTTTTAAAAGTTTCATAAGATTTTGAACGAAGAAAGTAATGACGACAAAGTAAATTTGCGACGAGAGAGAGATGAGAGAGAGAGACCAGAGGGGGAGGGAAGAGAGACCAGAGAGAGAGACATGAGAGAGGGAGAGACCAGAAAGAGAGATGAGAGAGAGCTAGAGAGAGGGACTAGTGGGGAAGAGAAGAGAGAGAGACCGGAGAGAGAGATGAGAGAGAGACCAGAGAGAGAGATGAGAGAGAGCGAGAGAGAGAGACCAGTGGGGAAGAGAAGAGAGAGAGACCGGAGAGAGAGGTGAGAGAGAGACCAGAGAGAGAGATGAGAGAGAGCGAGAGAGAGAGACCAGTGGGGAAGAGAAGAGAGAGAGACCGGAGAGAGAGATGAGAGAGAGACCAGAAGGGGAGAGAAGAGAGAGAGACCAAAGGGAGACAAGAGAGAGACCAGAGAGAAACCAGAGAGAGAGAGAGACCAGTGAGAGAGACCAGAGAGAGAGACTAGATAGAAACCAGGGAGAGACACTAGAGAGAGACTTGAGTGAGAGACTAGAGAAAGAGACCTGAGAGAGAGAGACTAGAGAGAGACTTGAGTGAGAGACTAGAGAAAGAGACCTGAGAGAGAGAGACTAGAGAGAGACTTGAGAGAGACCAAAATAGGGACCAGCAAGAGAGACCAAAGTGGGATAGGACGAGACAAAGCATAGAGACCTGAGAAAGACAAGTGACAAATACTAAAGAGAGACCAAGGAGTGACCAGCGAGAGAGACTTGAGAGAGACCAGAGAGGGAGACCATAGAGAGGGTTTTGAGAGAGACCAGAGAGAGAGACCAGAGAGAGAGACCAGAGTGTCCTTCACACTAGTACTTAAAAATATTCAGTAGGTTCCATCTAAAGCAGAGACTGAGTTCCTCTGTGCTCAGCGGCTCTCAAAGCCTTCACTTCTGACCGGAATCGTCAAATATCCTTCTGCGGCAAAGTGTTAATCCTCTCCGCGGCTTAAGGGGGCGCCGTGCCAGAAGGAGGCGTACACGGCGGCTCATTGAGGAGGCGCACACTGAGGTTCATTAAGGAGGCGCACACTGAGGTTCATTAACTCACTGACTGCCAGGCATTTTCAGATTTGAGAAGTGCATTCTGCCAGCAATTTCAGGTGATTTGACCCAACTTTGAAGTGCCACAGAATATTCATTTTTTAGACGATGTAAACACCAAGGGCACCAAATTAAAGATTCACCTCTCTGCTTTACTCTGAAAAAAAACAGTTTGTTTCTACCTCTTACCGTTCTTGCGTTATTTGCCATAGAACAAAGCATACTTTCACCCATAACACCTGGTCTGAGCAAGAAAACAGAGGAAACGAGCTGTATGTAAACAGGAACATATCAAGCAGAAAAGAGACTTTTAGATGCATATTTGCTGCTTTAGTGACAACTCAAAACATCTTCACACTTGTTCCATTACAAAAATTATAAAAACATGACTCTGAAATAATACTTTTGATGGCAAATTGTTGGCAATTTATTCACAGATAGAAAATTTAACTTTCTTCTATACCATCAACCAAAACGTCAAACAACAAGATCAATAAAACTATAGATGTATAAAATAGAATGAAGCATGTGAATGTCAGTGTGCGAGTGAGTGTGTGTGTGTGTGAATGTCAGTGTGCGAGTGAGTGTCTGTGTGAGTGAGTGTCTGTGTGTGTGAATGTCAGTGTGTGTGAATGTCAGTGTGTGTGAGTGTCTGTGTGCGAGTGAGTGTCTGTGTGCGAGTGAGTGTCTGTGTGCGAGTGAGTGTCTGTGTGCGAGTGAGTGTCTGTGTGCGAGTGAGTGTCTGTGTGCGTGAGTGAGTGCGTGTGAGTGTTTGTGAGTGTGAGTGAGTGCGTGTGAGTGTTTGTGAGTGTGTCCGATAAATCATGATCAGGTTTGCTGAAAGAAATCCGAGGCATCAGTAACAACAGCAGCTGATACGCTGCGAGAGGCGGAAGGTGTGTCTCTGCTCTGGGCTCTGGGCTGCAGAGACGGACCTCCACCGGGGTCTCCACTCTCTCCCCTCTCGACCTCACTCACTGATCCGCGAGTCAATCTCTGAAGCAGTGTCAGCTGCTTATAACTATTCTTTTTCGCCATCACTCTTGCTATACTATCGCTAAACTAGATCGCTGATCCGTCTCAATGCTACGCTATCATCGCTCTGCTACAGCAGCACGCTCTCCAAACACTCCCACACTCCTCCTTCTTCTCTCCACTGACTTATGACCTCTCCTGTGGTGCAATACTGCATCCTACTGGTGTTGATTTATCATTACAGGTACATTTGCACTATATATCAGTATTGTGGGTCATTCACAAGGTGCGCCAGACATTACTGTAGCCTCCCGTGTAATAACATGAAAAACTCGTCAAACTCGTCATGGGCAGTGAGCGTTACTATTCAACATGACGAGTTTTGTCGTCATGGGCAGTGAATGAGTTAAGGAGGCGCACACGAAGGTTCATTAAGGAGGCGCACACGGAGGTTCAATAAGGAGGCGCACACGGAGGTTCATTAAGGAGGCGCACACGGAGGTTCATTAAGGAAGCGCACACGGAGGGTCATTAAGGAGGCGCACACGAAGGTTCATTAAGGAGGCGCACACGAAGGTTCATTAAGGAGGCGCACACGAAGGTTCATTAAGGAGGCGCACACGAAGGTTCATTAAGGAGGCGCACACGAAGGTTCATTAAGGAGGCGCACACGGAGGTTCAATAAGGAGGCGCACACGGAGGGTCATTAAGGAGGCGCACACGGAGGTTCATTAAGGAGGCGCACACGGAGGTTCATTAAGGAGGCGCACACGAAGGTTCATTAAGGAGGCGCACACGAAGGTTCATTAAGGAGGCGCACACGGAGGTTCATTAAGGAGGTGCACACGGGCCCGACATGTGAGCAAAGCGCTAATACAGAACCCACTCACACAGACAGAGGCAGCGAGGAGGTTCCCGGCACTTTGCGGTCTGAGAATGTACGAGAACGAGAGAGTTAGTTTAGTTGTTTAGAATAAATGTTTTTGGAGATTTTAATTCCTCCTTAATTTTTGATTCATTCACACAGTTTGTAGTAAATAGTCAGAAGAAATGTGTTTCAAAATCAAGACAGAGAGTTGGAGTTGAAGAGGGAGGCCGGACAGAGACCAGAGAGAGATCAGAGAGAGAGAACAGAGAGAGAGCAAAGCGACAAGAGGGAGAACAGAGAGAAACCTGAGGGAGACCAGAGAGAGAGAGACCAGAGAAAGAGAGAGAGACTAGAGAGAGAGTCTAGTGAGAGAGAGACCAGAGGGAGAAGAAAGAGAGACTAGAGAGAGACCAGAGAGAGACTAGAGAGAGACCAGAGAGAGACCAGAGAGAGACCAGAGAGAGAGACCAGAGAGAGAGACCAGAGAGAGACCAGAGAGAGACCAGAGTCAGTTTTATAACATAGTTTAAAGACAACAGCCTTTGATTCCAGATCAGAGAAACGATGTTTCTTTTTTTTTCTCCATGGTCCGAGTGGGATTCAAACCCATAAAGAGCGGTCCGTACAGTCTGAGTGGGATTCAAACCCATAAAGAACGGTCCGTACAGTCCGAGTTGGATTCAAACCCATAAAGAACGGTCCGTACAGTCTGAGTGGGATTCAAACCCATAAAGAACGGTCCGTACAGTCTGAGTGGGATTCAAACCCATAAAGAACGGTCCGTACAGTCTGAGTGGGATTCAAACCCATAAAGAACGGTCCGTACAGTCCGAGTTGGGATTCAAACCCATAAAGAACGGTCCGTACAGTCTGAGTGGGATTCAAACCCATAAAGAACGGTCCATACAGTCTGAGTGGGATTCAAACCCATAAAGAACGGTCCGTACAGTCTGAGTGGGATTCAAACCCATAAAGAACGGTCCGTACAGTCTGAGTGGGATTCAAACCCATAAAGAACGGTCCGTACAGTCTGAGTGGGATTCAAACCCATAAAGAACGGTCCGTACAGTCTGAGTGGGATTCAAACCCATAAAGAACGGTCCGTACAGTCCGAGTTGGGATTCAAACCCATAAAGAACGGTCCGTACAGTCTGAGTGGGATTCAAACCCATAAAGAACGGTCCGTACAGTCTGAGTGGGATTCAAACCCATAAAGAACGGTCCGTACAGTCTGAGTGGGATTCAAACCCATAAAGAACGGTCCATACAGTCTGAGTGGGATTCAAACCCATAAAGAACGGTCCGTACAGTCTGAGTGGGATTCAAACCCATAAAGAACGGTCCGTACAGTCTGAGTGGGATTCAAACCCATAAAGAACGGTCCGTACAGTCTGAGTGGGATTCAAACCCATAAAGAACGGTCCGTACAGTCTGAGTGGGATTCAAACCCATAAAGAACGGTCCGTACAGTCTGAGTGGGATTCAAACCCATAAAGAACGGTCCATACAGTCTGAGTGGGATTCAAACCCATAAAGAACGGTCCGTACAGTCTGAGTGGGATTCAAACCCATAAAGAACGGTCCATACAGTCTGAGTGGGATTCAAACCCATAAAGAACGGTCCATACAGTCTGAGTGGGATTCAAACCCATAAAGAACGGTCCGTATGAAGGCTTTTTGTGTTCAGTGCTGGGTCGTGTTGGCAGCGTGGATCAGTGCGGCTTCTGCGGCTGTGAAAAACACTCCCACTCTTCTCCTCGCTTGGCGCCGGCCCAAGTAAATAAAGCGTGAAGCATATGCAGAGAAGCAGGTGGAACTCTCTCGCTCTCTCTTTCTCTCGCTCTGTCTCTCTCGCTCTCTCTCTCTCTCTCTCTCTCTCTCTCTCTCTGTGAGCGAGAGCCAAACTGACGGTGATGTAAAGAAGCCAAGAAGAAGAGAGAGGTTTGAGTGGAAGTGGAATGTTAATCAGGATTTCATGTGGTACAGAAGGAGAGAGCGAAATGTGGATGAAAAGGGGGTTTCTCTTTAGTTTTAATGACATTTGTTATATTTGAGCGTGACATCACCTCAGGCTTGTGTTTGAGTTTATACAATCAAGGAGAAATGATTCATTCATAAGTGTTCACCACAGAGAGAGAGACCACAGAGAGAGAGCAGAGAGGGACCAGAGAGAGACCAGAGAGAGACCAGAGAGGGATCAGAGAGAGAGACCAGAGAGAGAGAGCAGAGAGGGACCAGAGAGAGACCAGAGAGAGACCAGAGAGGGATCAGAGAGAGAGACCAGAGAGAGAGAGCAGAGAGGGACCATAGAGAGACCAGAGAGAGACCAGAGAGGGATCAGAGAGAGAGACCAGAGAGAGAGACCAGAGAGGGATCAGAGAGAGAGACCAAAGAGGGATCAGAGAGAGACCAGAGAGAGACCAGAGAGGGATCAGAGAGAGAGACCAGAGAGAGAGAGCAGAGAGGGACCAGAGAGAGACCAGAGAGAGACCAGAGAGGGATCAGAGAGAGAGACCAGAGAGAGAGACCAAAGAGGGATCAGAGAGAGAGACCAAAGAGGGATCAGAGAGAGACCAGAGAGGGACCAGAGAGAGACCAGAGAGAGACCAGAGAGGGATCAGAGAGAGAGAGACCAGAGAGAGAGACCAGAGAGAGAGACCAGAGAGAGAGACCAGAGAGAGAGAGCAGAGAGAGATTGGAGAGTTACCAGAGAAAGAGACCAGCGATCGAGACCAGCGAGATGTGAAACCCCACCTGAGACCTCAGACCTATGACATCATAGATAGAACCACAGTAAAACACACATATTTGGTCCAAATGAGTTTTTGTAAATATCAATCTAATGTCTGTCTTTTACACCAGTGTCTTCCTCTGATCGCGGCTGATCGGTGTGAAAACCCGCCGCAGCCTCTCCGTCTGCCGCCTTTAGTTTCTGAATGACCCTTTTATAGCTCTTATTCTCATTATAACAAACTTGAAATTACGGCTTAACGACTGCGGCAAGCTGGCGTTTCTTTCCCTGGCTTTGCTTTGAGACCATTTAATGACAAAAACACACATTTAAATCCACAAAACGGACCATTTCAGTCGGAGGCACCAATTATTTCAAAACACCAACGAGAAGAGGAAAAAAAGCCAGTTTGTCAAAGTCTTAAAAAGGGAAATCAGTAATTGGTTAAAATCCGGCACTAACGAGTTGTTGTGTTGTGTGTGGCTCCGATACCACCAGAGGAGAGGGTGGAGAGGAGAGGTGGAGAGGAGAGGTGGAGAGGAGAGGTGGGGAGGAGAGGTGGAGAGGAGAGGTGGAGAGGAGAGGTGGGGAGGAGAGGTGGGGAGGAGAGGTGGAGAGGAGAGGTGGAGAGGAGAGGTGGAGAGGAGAGGTGGAGAGGAGAGGTGGGGAGGAGAGGTGGAGAGGAGAGGTGGAGTGGAGAGGTGGAGAGGAGAGGTGGGGAGGAGAAGTGGAGAGGAGAGGTGGAGAGAAGAGGTGGAGTGGAGAGGTGGGGAGTAGAGGTGGGGAGGAGAGGTGGAGAGGAGAGGTGGAGAGGAGAGGTGGGGAGGAGAGGTGGGGAGGAGAGGTGGAGAGGAGAGGTGGAGAGGTGGAGAGGAGAGGTGGAGAGGAGAGGTGGAGAGGAGAGGAGAGGTGGAGAGGAGAGGAGAGGAGAGGTGGAGAGGAGAGGTGGGGAGGAGAGGTGGAGAGGTGGGGAGGAGAGGTGGAGAGGAGAGGTGGAGAGGAGAGGAGAGGTGGAGAGGAGAGGTGGAGAGGAGAGGTGGAGAGGAGAGGTGGGGAGAAGAGGTGGAGAGGAGAGGTGGAGTGGAGAGGTGGAGTGGAGAGGTGGGGAGGAGAGGTGGAGAGGTGGTGCCGAGAGACCAGAGAGAGACCAGAGAGAGAGAGACCAGAGAGAGAGACCAGAGAGAGACCAGAGAGAGATCAGAGAGACCAGCGAGAGACCAGAGAGAGATCAGAGAGACCAGAGAGAGAGACCAGAGAGAGATCAGAGAGACCAGAGAGAGAGACCAGAGAGAGATCAGAGAGACCAGAGAGAGAGACCAGAGAGAGATCAGAGAGACCAGAGAGAGACCAGAGAGAGATCAGAGAGACCAGAGAGAGAGACTAGGGAGAGAGACCAGAAATAGAGACCAGAGAGAGACCAGAGAGAGACCAGAGAGAGCGACCAGAGAGAGACTAGAGAGAGACCAGAGAGAGACCAGAGAGAGACCAGAGAGAGACCAGAGAGAGAGACCAGAGAGAGAGACCAGAGAGAGACCAGAGAGAGACCAGAGAGAGACCAGAGAGAGACCAGAGAGAGACCAGAGAGAGAGACCAGAGAGAGACCAGAGAGAAACCAGAGAGAGACCAGAGAGAGACCAGAGAGAGACCAGAGAGAGACCAGAGAGAGACCAGAGAGAGACCAGAGAGATCAGAGAGAGACCAGAGAGAGAGCAGAGAGACCAGAGAGAGAGACCAGAGAGAGATCAGAGAGACCAGAGAGAGATCAGAGAGACCAGAGAGAGAGATCAGAGAGAGACCAGAGAGAGACCAGAGAGAGACCAGAGAGACCAGAGAGAGACCAGAGAGAGAGACCAGAGAGAGACCAGAGAGAAACCAGAGAGAGACCAGAGAGAGATCAGAGAGACCAGAGAGAGAGACCAGAGAGAGATCAGAGAGAGATCAGAGAGACCAGAGAGAGAGACCAGAGAGAGATCAGAGAGACCAGAGAGAGACCAGAGAGAGATCAGAGAGACCAGAGAGAGAGACTAGGGAGAGAGACCAGAAATAGAGACCAGAGAGAGACCAGAGAGAGAGACCAGAGAGAGACTAGAGAGAGACCAGAGAGAGACCAGAGAGAGACCAGAGAGACACCAGAGAGAGACCAGAGAGTGACCAGAGAGAGAGACCAGAGAGAGACCAGAGAGAGACCAGAGAGAGACCAGAGAGAGACCAGAGAGAGACCAGAGAGAGACCAGAGAGAGACCAGAGAGAGACCAGAGAGAGACCAGAGAGAGACCAGAGAGAGACCAGAGAGAGACCAGAGAGAGCAGAGAGAGAGACCAGAGAGAGACCAGAGAGAGACCAGAGACCAGAGAGACCAGAGAGAGGCCAGAGAGAGACTAGAGAGAGAGACCAGAGAGAGACCAGAGAGAGACCAGAGAGAGCAGAGAGAGAGGCTTCAGGATTTAACGATTGTGAACATGAAACAAAGTGAAAAGGAAACATTTTTGTCTCTAAAGAAAGTCTTTTGTGTTGGATTGATTTGTGTTGGAGGCAGCGGAGCCGCACTCGACCCGGGGCAGACACCACAAAGTCTCGATTGTGTTTGGATCAGAGAGAGTTTAAAGTCAGGTTACAACAAGTGACATTAAAGGTGATCTGCGTAACTTTACTGTTTTACCAATGTCTCTATACACTTATAGAGAGAGGCCAGAGAGAGAGAGGCCAGAGAGAGAGAGAGACCAGAGAGAGAAAGAGAGAGCCGAGAGAGAGAGCAGAGAGAGAGGCCAGAGAGAGAGAGGCCAGAGAGAGAGAGAGCAGAGAGAGAGACCAGAGAGAGAGGCCAGAGAGAGAGAGGCCAGAGAGAGAGAGAGCAGAGAGAGAGAGAGAAACCAGAGAGAGAGAGAGGCCAGAGAGAGAGAGAGACCAGAGAGAGAAAGAGAGAGCAGAGAGAGAGAGGCCAGAGAGAGAGAGAGACCAGAGAGAGAGAGGCCAGAGAGAGAGAGAGAGAGCAGAGAGAGAGAGGCCAGAGAGAGAGAGAGACCAGAGAGAGAGAGACCAGAGAGAGAAAGAGAGAGCAGAGAGAGAGAGGCCAGAGAGAGAAAGAGAGAGCAGAGAGAGAGAGGCCAGAGAGAGAGAGGCCAGAGAGAGAGAGACCAGAGAGAGAGAGAGACCAGAGAGAGAGAGAGACCAGAGAGAGAAAGAGAGACCAGAGAGAGAGAGATGCCAGAGAGAGAGACCAGAGAGAGAGGCCAGAGAGAGAGATGGAGAGAGAGAGAGAGACCAGAGAGAGAGAGAGACCAGAGAGAGAGACCAGAGAGAGAGAGACCAGAGAGAGACCAGAGAGAGACCAGAGAGAGAAAGAGAGAGCATGGAGAGAGATGCCAGAGAGAGAGACCAGAGAGAGAGGCCAGAAAGAGAGAGACCAGAGAGAGAAAGAGAGAGCAGAGAGAGAGATGCCAGAGAGAGAGACCAGAGAGAGAGAGGCCAGAAAGTGAGAGACCAGAGAGAGAAAGAGAGAGCAGAGAGAGAGAGATGCCAGAGAGAGAGACCAGAGAGAGAAAGAGATACCAGAGAGAGCGTAAGATACCAGAGGAAGAGAGAGACCAGAGATACCAGGGAGGGAGACAAGAGATGGAGAGATTTAGTGACCAAAAGGACCAGAGAGAAAGGGCGAAACAGGGACAAGAGAGACCAAAAAGACAAAAGAGAGAAAGAGAGCAATACCAGAGAAAGAGAGACTAAAAAGACCAGAGAGACAGCAACGAAAGAGACCCGTTGAGACCAGACCGAGGGACCAAAAAGATCAGATAGAGAAACCAGTTACAGACCAGAGAGAGCGAGAAAGAACAGAGAGAAAAACCAGAGAGAGAGAGACCAAGGAGCAAGACCAGAGAGAGAGAGAGACCAGAGCTTCCTCGTCCCTTCTCTCTCTGATTGGTCTCTCATGAGCTTCTCACGTTTCGCTCTCTCGTTCTCGAATCAGTAAATGAAATGAAACAGTTGTTATGTAAATGCTAGTTTGCCCTTTCTGCTGTCGCTAAAGTCACCGCTAACACTCGAGCTAATCCCGCTTCCTCTCCTCATCTGTCTCTCTCTTTTCTCTCTCTCTCTCTCTCTCTCTCTTCCTCTCTCTCCTCGTGGCGTGTCTTATGTGTTTTTCTTCCGCTCTCCTGTCCATGAATTCTCTCTAATTAGCGCGTGAGAAGCGATTAGTGGCGCGGCTTTAAGTGCCATGTAAACACGCCGGGGCCCCCTGCTGTGGCGGAGGACAAGTGGCATCTTGAGAGAGCGAGAGAGCGACACCAGAGCATATGCACACAACACACTGTGGCAGATCAGAACGAGACCGAGGCCGAGGCCGAGGCTGAGGAGGAGTTATGGGAGAGATATGAGGGATAAACGGGAGATTTTCTGTCTCTTTGTATTGTCGTGAAGTGGAGAGAGAGAGTAGAGCAGAGAGAGGAGAGAGAGAGACCAGAGAGAGAGAGCAGAGAGAGAGACCAGAGAGAGAGAACAGAGAGAGAGACCAGAGAGAGAGACCAGAGAGAGAGAGCAGAGAGAGGAGCGAGAGAGACCAGAGAGAGAGAGAGCAGAGAGAGGAGCGAGAGAGACCAGAGAGAGAGAGTAGAGAGAGATTAGAGAGAGGGGCTAGAGAGAAGGAACAGAGAGAGAGACCAGAGAAACACCAGTTAAAGAGATCAGAGAGAAAGTCCAGAGAGAGAGACCAAAGAGAGAGAGACCAGAGAGACACCAGAGAGAGAGACCAAGGGAGAGACCTGGGAATGAAACCAGGGAGAGATAAGAGAGAGACCAGAGAGACACCAGAGGGAGAGACCAGAGAGAGACCAGAGAGAGAGAGACCGGAGAGAGAGAGACCAGAGAGAGACCAAAGAGAGAGAGACCACAGATACTAAAGCCTTCTATTATGAAATGATCTTCATGTCTATATCTGGACTTTCTGATAACAGCAGTTACCTCACAGGACTTTACAAAGTTGTTAATTCCCCAAAACAGATCAGAAAATCAAACTGTTCCAACACAGAAAATGCAAAGGTACAAAATAGATTTAAAAATTGGTCCAAAGTCGCTTTGGACCAAGACCAGAGATCTTTGTGCCAACTCATATTCAAACTGTTTCTATCCTGGTTCTATCCTGGTTCTCTCCTGGTTCTCTCCTGGTTCTCTCCTGGTTCTCTCCTGGTTCTCTCCTGGTTCTCTCCTGGTTCTCTCCTGGTTCTCTCCTGGTTCTCTCCTGGTTCTCTCCTGGTTCTCTCCTGGTTGTTTTCCGGCAGCTCTGGTCCAGATGAAGCCGTGGATCGATGCCCAGAGTCGGGGAAACACACTTCATTACAGACCTAGGTTTCATCTGCTC